TTGACTGACTCTCACTTTCCCTGTTCACTGATACCTGCTAACTCTGTTTTATGCAATGCTAATGTCTTGCTAATTTTGCATTTAATGCCTTCTGTCACCCAGCCCACATCAAAGGGCACTCGGCTGTTCAGGTGTCAGTTGTGAGCCAGTTTCACTTTGCACCACAAGAAATTTAAGCACTTTCTATGCAACAAGAGAAAAAAAAAGCTGGTAACCAGTGCAGAGGGTAGAGTTTTTGTTTCTGTTTTCATTTTTGTTCATTTTCCTGAAGCTGTGTATAGCTGCACAGCTCAGGGAAAGTTTTGTGGAGTAGCCTCAGCCAAAGGAAACGTCTACTCTGATGGCTTAAAACTGCTGGGATATGTGAACACAACCTCGTTGGAGTGTAATGCTACTTCCCTTGGACAGAAATACTTTCTGTACTGGCAGTTACCAACTGAGCAGTGATTCTCCATTGCTTTAAGTGTTCACTCGTGAAATTGCTGAACATTTCACAGGTAGTTGAAAAAATTAGCGGTCCCTGCCTGTATGGCTTTTGCCTTGTGGTTTGCAGAAGAGATGCTTTTGTATGCGATGTTTTCTGTTTGAAATGGTTTTTGCACTGTTTTTAACAAAGCCCTTGACGAGGCACTTAAGATATTAACCAGCTTCAGCAGATCATGCGTCTGACGGGAACGCCCCCTGCCTATCTCATTAACAGGATGCCCAGCCACGAGGTGAGATCTGAGAGAGGAAGGGGGTGTACAGGGCAGGGCTTCACTCCGTGTTCACCAGTCTGTGAATGAAATGCTTGCATGTGGCATGGGGTGGGCAATTAACTACCTGCTCTCCTGCAAGACTTCTGTACTAAAGGAAGATGTGAGATTTGGACAGTGTGTGCTCAACCACAGATGTGTGAGACTGGGAGAGCCTGGCTGGGAGCTGGTTTTGCATTGTGGGCTGTGCTGTGCAGCTCAGCAAAGCTCAGCAGGCTGCACCCAGCCTTGCTGGGACACAGGGGCTCAGCTCCTCCTGCTCCTCTCTGCTTTCCAATCTTACTTTGCCACAAGTGATGTCAGCTCTTCCTCTACTGTCTTGAGTGCCTTAGTTGGGACAGGGCAATGCTGATGTGCTTAGTAGGTGTCAGAGTAAGCAAGGAGACAGACTATAATAACCTGTGCTTCAGGATGGTTGAAAAGTACTTGATCTTGCTGGCTGGATATTGTCTGATACTTCAACAGAGCATTTCTTTCCACAGGCAAGAAACTACATCCAGTCTTTGTCTTACATGCCGAAGATGAACTTTGAAAACGTGTTTATTGGTGCCAATCCCCTGGGTAAGACTTGTTTATTGAATTTTCCTGAGACTGGAGGTAGCATGTCCTGTCCTTTGGAGACTCCCAAAGCTTTGTTCTGGCTCTAGGAGTAGTGCAGAACAGGGTTATGTGTATGAAGGACGTGTGGGCCAAGGGTGTAAGAGGAACAAAATGCTGGATGATGGTGGGTCCTGAGAAACTACAGATTCCTCATCTGTGTTGGGCTTTTAGAAGCTTTAACATTTCAGGGTAGAGTCAGACAGCTGATGTGGGAGATCCTGTGTGTCTGGTGCTCTTGCAGCCGTGGACTTGCTGGAGAAGATGCTGGTCCTGGACACGGACAAGCGCATCACGGCCGCCGAGGCGCTGGCCCACGCCTACTTCGCCCAGTACCACGACCCCGACGATGAACCCGTGGCAGACCCCTATGACCAGTCCTTTGAAAGCAGAGAGCTTGAGATTGAAGAGTGGAAAAGTGAGTCTGGGGCAGAGGAGAGACAGCTTCTCTTGTGGTTGTAGAATCATGGAATAGCCTGAGTAGGAAGGGACCCGCAGGGATCATGGAGTGCAACTCCTGGCCCTACACAGGGGTCCTGTACAAGTCCAGAATCTCAGCCTGTGCATCCCTGAGAGCAGTGTCCAAACACTCCTGGAGCTCTGGCAGCCTCAGGGCTGTGCCCAGCACCCTCTGTAGGAAGAACCTTTCCCTGAGATCCATCCCAACCCTCCTGACCCAGCTCCAGCTGCTCCCTTGGGTGCTGTCACTGCTCACAGAGATGGGAGCTGCCTCTCTCAGACCTTGCTGAGTCTCCCCTCAGTCTCCTTCCCATCCCATGAGCTGAGGTTCAGCTAAGCCATGGTTAGAGGCACAGCAGAAAGTGATAAAAATGTGGGCATTCTGTTGATTCTGTCCTTACACTATGCTGTGTGCATATTTAGCACAGTCCCTGGTAACTAATTACTGCTAGGAGCACACAAACATATCCTTGTTTTCAAACTCACTCACATCTCCTCAATGCTCTGGAAGTTTTTTTTATTGTGTATATTGGTCTCTGAGAGCAGTGTAACCATTCTTTTCTTCTTTGGCTTAATTAAACAATACTTTTTGTTTAAAATGCTGTCAGAACACTTGAGATTGTTGCAGGTTTTCTTGCATGTAGGTGTGTCTGGTAGTGCTGTCATAGTCCTGCTGCTAAGTTTCTGTCCCACTTCTCCCCCAGGCCTGACTTATGATGAAGTAATCAGCTTTGTGCCACCCCCGCTCGACCAAGAGGAGATGGAGTCCTGAGAAACTGCTCTCTTCTGTTTGTCCCACTTCACTGTGAAGGGAAGGCCTTTTCATAGGGACTCTCCAATTATCGTTCAAGTGCCTCATCACAACAATATTCTCCTTAGTGGAGGGGTTTTGTGTGTGTTGAACTGGGGAGGGAGGGGGGAGGGAAGGAAGCTGAGTCTATGTAAACATGCTGCATGCTCTTGTATTCTGTGTACAGCCTGGGGCAAGCCTCTGGAGACCTGTTCTGACTGCACTTAGTTCTTCCAGAGTTACAGTGCACTGCCAGTCTGCACTGCTGGGGTGAGGTGAGGAGGGTGACAGTGACAGTTTGGTTGCAATCATTGCCATTTATCAATTCTCCTACAACTGAGTAACCTCAAAAAGAATGAAAGCTGGTTTATAGGCTTAGAGAGTCCTCAGTTTTCTTCAGGACTGAAGGTGGGGTTGAGGGATGTCCTTGTTCAATGCCAGGTGTGTGATTTACATCCAGATCTTCCGGTGCAGCAGAGGGTAGAGACCTTCTGGTGTCTGATTCTTGGAACACAAAAAGATGTTGTTTGAAACTGTAAATATGTTTGTGCCTTAAATAAATGGGGAGAGAGGGGAAAGGAAGTCTGGGGTGGAAATCTGACCCACTGTTCTTGAGAGTGAAGGCTCCCAGGTAGCGAGGCATGAACTCAATGTAATTGGGAAGTAATTTTGAGGCAACAACTTCAACCCCTGGATTGGGTATTCCTGTGTTTTTTCACTTTCCTCCTCCTCTTGTTCTGAGGCTTCTCAGCATTATCTCCCAGGAGCCAGAGGTTGGGGAAGATCCTTGCTAGCCACACGTTTGTGTATTCTGTTCCCTACAAGGTGGTGTGTTTTTGCATGTTGTAGCTGTATGTGCATGTAGAGCTGCTTGATTTTTGTCCTTACTTTTTGGGGATGGCACTGGGGGCAGTTCAGTCATCAGTGAAACGTTTGCTGAGTACCTCAGGCAGTGCCATAAAATCACAGCACCCTTCCTCCTGTGCTGCAGCTCCTTGTGAAATGCCTGCCATCCTAGAGGCTTCATCGAGGGAAGGATGTCCTGTCCAACAACAGAGCAACATGCACCTTTTTCTTTGTTCTGACCTTCTCTCTGCAGAGGAGGAGAGCTTGGGTGGAAAGGTTTCTTGTGAGATCAAGTGTAAAAAACATTCTTTAAAGAAATGACTATAGTATCTTGTGCCAGAACTTAAGTTATTTCCTGAAAAGATTTTTTTTTAGAAGTATTGGAACCCAAAGCAAAGAAATAAGCATGCATAAACACACAATCACCCTTCACTGTCTATATCTATAAATACAAATATTTATATACATAAAACTAACATTTACTAGAAGTTTTTTTATCCTCTCACGTAAGAGCTTCTTGGCTATTTCTTAGCAGGTTGATCTCTGCCCGAGGAAACATGAGAAAGGGAGTATGTTTGAATACAAACATGGTTCAAATATTTTGTATTTTCCAGGACTCTGCATGAGTGAAGTGCCCAGAGTTAGAGACTGGCAGGAGGGAGGTTTCTCAGCATTTTTGTGTGCTCCATCTGTAGCTGGGGAACTCAGGAGCCCAATTTTAGGGCCTCTGGAGGAGGCATTTTTAGAGTTTAATTTGTTGCAGGCATCCTGTGTGGGCAATGTATCAGTGTATGTGAGGAGAAAGGCTTTTGCAGTATTTTGTATTCTTGTTACCTGTGGGGCAGAGAGTGTTTTTGTAGTGTTTTTGCCCCATGTTTGAAGAGGCAGCACAAAGGGATGGGACATGGATGACAAAGCCATTGATTCTTCCTAGGCTACTTCCCAGCGATCTCTTCAGGCCAAAAGTTCAATAAAGGTCTGGGCTGAGATGAAGAGAGCAGCTCTGTTGTGCTCTAGGATAAAACTCTCCACAGCCCAACAAAATCAAGACAAAAAACCTCCCTTTTCTGCTGGGCCAGCAGTCTGGGTATTCAAATAAAATGTAGATATACTATGTAAACCTACAGCAAGATTATTTTTATCAGCCATTTTCTGTGTAGATGCTACAGTGTGATTTCATGCGGAAATATTGCTAAAGATTTTTAAAAACTCTCGGTGTTGTGTGTGTGCGTGTGTCTGTGTGTGTGAGTGGGAATGGTTCACTGGAGTCTGTCCTCTGAGGGAGCCCCTGGGGCACAAACTCCCTGCTGCCAGTGCCGTGCTGTGCTCAGCTGCCTGGGCACCATGCTGCACCCAAAAGCAGAGATCTGCTATTTTGTTTCTATCCATGGATTTTGCTGTAATTGGTTATGCCAGATAAGATGTCACAATACCACTGGTTAAAAATAAAATCTATTTTTCAGATTTACTGCACTGCTGGTACTTGGAAACCTTTTGCACTGAAGTGTTGAGTTTTTAGCATGGTGTGAATTTCTCTGCTGTGCTGTGGGGGATCCTGGGTATGATGGCTGGGAGGGAACAAGGTGCCTGGAGGCTGACTCTGCTGCCATGGGGCTTCTTGTCCTTTTTTTCCACCATTCTAAAGTTTCCTGTTTGATTTGGTCACTGGAGTTAACTCATCTCAGTACAGCCCAGACCTGCCCCAGCTATTCAGGGCTCCCTAATTGGGTGCTGATTGCCTGTGTGTGCAGCAGCAGCTGAGCAAGGGCTGTGTTCATCAAATAACCCAGGAGTTACACCTTTGCTTAAGGAGCAGGAGCTTTTGCTGTGACACCTCTTGCTCACAGGTGTATTTATAGACCCAGCCAAGCTCTGGATTATTTCCGGGCTGTGCTGCTGCAGCCAGGGCTGATTACACAGATACTGCCAGGGTCCCTTGTCCCAGTTTGTGTTTATGAACAGCAGGCTCTGCTTGCAGAGCAAAAGGGCCAATGCAGTGGTTGCACATAAGCAGGCACAGTGAATTTTCCCTGGCCCCAGTTGTGCTTTTCCTGTAGGAACACATCTGCAGGTGCCCTGTATGGAAGGAGCAGAGGCTCTGGGCACGGTGGAGGGCTGCTGGGATAGAACACTGTGCAAGCAGCTAGGCTGGCTTGGTAAGGCTCGGCTTAGTCACTTCCTTTGGGGAGTGGGGAGGATGCAGCTCCTGTGTGGGAGCCCCACCTGAGCCTCCTGGTGCTGGAGAGAAATGGTGAGGAGCTCTCTGCTCACCAGCAATGGTCCTCGTGGGCTGCTGGGTCACAGACAGGGCGCTGACCACGGCCTTTGCTTTGTCCGAGAAGAGCCGGGAAGGGCTGAGAGCTGCTGCAGGAGATGAAGCCGCGCCCAGCAAAGCCTGGGGCACAAACCATTCTAGGGCTGTTCCCAGCCCACAGCTGCTCCTGGAACCCCTCGCAGCAGTCACTGGGAGAGCCTCAGCCTACTTTCAGCACCTCCCCACGCTGCTGGGGATCCTGGCTCGGGAGAAAATCGCCATCGATGTGATCCCGTGGTGTCCTTTATCACGGGCTGTCCGTCGGCTTCGAGAGGATCCCCTGCGTGCCTGACGCGCCGTGTCTGTGGCTTGTCCCTCGGATTCCCCGGCTCGGCGAGTCCTTACTCATCCCCTCGTTTGGAGGAGGGATTTCACGAGCCCCTGGCCGAGCCCCGTGAGGATATTTCTGGGCTGATGGAGCAGCAGAGCGGGAGCTGTGGATGACAGGGGCTGCCAGAGGCGTGCCCGAGCGGGGCTGGCTGCTCCCCTCCTGCAGCAGAGCCCAGAGGCACCTGTACAACACCGAGGCGTGTCAGGAAACCTGATGCCTCACCTCTGCCAATGTGGAGGCGGAGGGAGGAGGGCCCAAAGACATGTCCCTTCACGCTCGCAACAGCTGAAAACAGAGAAGGAAACTCGCTAGAGCCTTTTCCACCAGCGCAGGAAGCGTCCCTGTCCCGCTCTCACTCCAGAAGCCCTCCCGTACTCCACTACTCTGGGGGGGTGGCTGTCCCACACCCGCCGGGCGATGAACATCGCAAGGAGAAGAGGCTTTTACAGACAGGAGGTGAACAACACGCTCTGGGAGCTGCCCAGGAGATACACATCCCTGCACCCGCTGGGCTCCGGGGCCTACGGCTCCGTCTGGTGAGTGGGGTCCTGCTGGCAGCGCCCCGGGGCTGGGGCGTTGGGAGTTCCGGGCCGGGGGGGAAACGAGGAGGCGTTTGACAGAACCCCTCCATTAAGGAAGGGCATTTGCATGTGGGATGGGGGCAGGCTGTCTCCTGTCCAGCTGGACACTCGCTTGCCTGAAGAAAATGCCCCAGGGTGGGCAGAGAGGGGACAGGGCAGGGGTGCCAGGGCAGCCGAGCGTCACCTCGGCGCTGGGGTCAGGCAGGGTTTGAGCTGCTTTGGACTCTTGCTTGCGCTGGTAGCACAGGCGGGAGGCGGGGGAATACCTGGGTGTCTGCAAGAGATTTGTCTGTGATTGCAGAGGTGGGAGCTGGAACAGGGCGTCCTTGCTGCTCAGTCCCAGGCAGCTGAAGCAGATGGACAATACAACCCCTGCCCTGATACAGTTTCCAGTTTGAAATCATAAAGTGGATAGAAATTATTGCAAAGCAGGATCAGTAACAGACAGGGACTTCCTTCATGGCTGATGATAAACCCCAGCCTACAAGAGCAGCAGGAACTGCTGTTAATTATTCAGCCAGGCAAAGGTGCCTGAAGCAAGAGCAAGCACAAGGCAGAAATTGCTGGGTTTGCACTGACGAACCAGACATGGGCAACCCTGAAAGGTTAAATATGAAACAGTCCATTGATAGTATCTGAAGAGAGCCCTTATTTCATAACATGCTGAGCTAAAAATAAATGAAAAAAAAAATAAAGGTGTGTCCGTTTTCATAGGTGTTGGGCAAAGTCTGGCCTGCCACTGGCACTAATCCTGAAACCCTGGTGTCCAGGTTTTGTCCTTTTCCTCCAGCTTCCAATTTACAGGGGGGCACTCACTTGGCTGCCCAGATGTGTTTATGCCTCTTAGATTCTTAAGTAAGTCCTGCAAAAGCAGGCAGGATTAGACTTGACTTTTAATTTATATTTGTACAGTGTTCTCTGATTTTTATCACAGAGAAAATCAGGAAGAAAAATAAAGACAGGACAAAAAAAAAAAAAAGAAGAAGAAGAGAGAAATCCTTTCAAGTTTCCCTGCCCAGTCGAAAAAAACAAACATCAAAAGAAATCTTTACTGGTCCCTGTAAAACTCTGGGCTGCTCTGGAGCTCTCAAGAAGGGAGGTTGAAGCAGCCCGGGGGTGCATGGTGGTTTTGAATGGACAGAGCTCAGCAGGGAGGGCTCGATGCTGATTGCTGTACAAAGCTGAGGCAGAAATGTGGAGTTAGGATTTGCTGTCCTCTGCTGGGAATTGCTGGGAAAATTTCCTATTGCAGCGTTCTGCAGCAGAGGCTTTTACACCTTCTTGAGCAGCTGAAAAAGTAACTCAGGAGAAACAGCAAAGGCTTGATTCTGCCCTTTTTAATTTGCCAAAATCTGTAGGGATTTGGCTTCCAGCTGAGTGTGACTGTGAAAGAAGAATCTTCTGACCCCTCCACTGCTGGTCCTGCCAGCCAAGGCACAGCTCTGCCTGCCCGAGGTCAGCCCAGACTAAATCTGTTGAAATTTGTGCTGGGGAGAGCACCGGGGCTCTCCCAGCTGCATCAGCTCTGGGCTGGGATTGTGGCCAGGCTGTAACCAGCACTGTCTGTGTTGGGTGCTGGGGTTAGATGCTCTGTAGGTCAGCAGCCAGGAGGACACCCTCAGATTGGGAAATCTGCCTTGGATTCTGCAGTTTGACTCCCTGGTCTGAGTCCCTTCCTCTTATTTTTTTGGCTCCTCCAAAAATTTTATGCAGTGCTGTCCCCTCTGCTGACATCTGCTGAAGTCCTGGAACGGATACAAAACCTCACTGAGAGTCCTCCTAGGACACCCTACAGCATCTTCAGCATTTCAGCTGCCTTGTGTAGCTGTTCCTGCACTTGCTTTGCTTCTCCTGACTCGATATTTGTCAGTGCAAGGCTGGAAGCCATGGGATTGAACATGATGATTTACAGCTCTTCTGTTCCTGTGGGAGATGGGATAGGGATTTCTGAACCAGTGGGAATTACTCTGGGAATCCACAGTGGCATTTAGCAGGAAAAATCTTTTTTTTCATGTTTGCCTCTTGGGAGGGGTCAAGGAAGGGCTGAGACACCCCTGGAAAACACCACTGAGAACCATGAATTCCTGTCTGTCTGAGGACCTCCCTTCCCTCCTTGGCAATCTGAGCAAGGAGCCTCCAGAGGGAGAGGAGCTGTCACAGGATTGTCGTGTCCAGCTGCAAACAGCCAATGTGACCAGCAGGAACAACACAGCATAACAATGCCTGCAGCAATGGCTGCTGTACCAGCTTTTCATCAGCTCCAGAGAAGAGTCTCATTTTCAGCCAGACCTGCTCTTACACAGAAGCAAATATGTAATCAAGAATTCTGAACACAGCAGGATTAATTGCAGCAGCCCTTGCAACATGTGACATCCACAGTCTTTGCTCCAGAATACAGTGAAGGCAGCTGGCTTGCCCTAAAATACAACAACCTCCAAGCAGATGGCAAAGCAGAAATTGCCATATCTTTATTCCCTTATCTCCATGCATTAAGGAAGGAGAAGGCAGAGTTAGAACTAATTCTGACCTTTAGCCATCTGTGTTTCCCTTTTCTCTCAGCTCTGTTACCTCCAGCTCATTTCTGCAGGTTGAAGAGAATAAAGATGAGCCACTTGTGCTTTTCTTGGTGTCCCACCTCATCCCCCAAAGAGCACAGGCTGCCCAAAGCCACACAGGGCTCTGTGTGCAGAGCTCCACTGAGCTCCTCAAAGGACCTTTCTTTGCTGTCCTTCTGCAAGGACAGGAATCAACTCTTCTCTAGGAGATGACCTGTGGGGTTTCAGAATCTGTTCAAACATACTACTGACACCAGAATGGTTTTTTCTTTGCCTGCTGCAGTTCAGCCATAGACAAGAAGACAGGGGAGAAAGTGGCCATCAAGAAGCTGTGCCGCCCATTCCAGTCAGAGATCTTTGCCAAGAGAGCCTACAGAGAGCTGATGCTGCTGAAGCACATGCAGCATGACAATGTGAGTGCTCATTTCTCCTCTTCCTGCTGACACAAGAGGTGTTTCCTTGCCACCTGGGAGCAAGTCCTTTTGGTGGCATCACCTGTGCTTTAATTGACATTTGGTATGTGCAGGCTGTCTCAGGGTTTACCTGTGACCTCTTTGCTGTGCCCAGGATGGAGCAGGTGTACAATGGGTGAGCCCAGGTATTAGTAAGAGGGAAAACATTTATGCAGCATCAGTGAGGAGTCCCTGGGTTCCTCAGATGGAATTTTCTGTGTTCACCCAGGTGCATGTGCCAGTGGAGAGCTGATGAGTGCCATGTGCACAGCAATTGTTTTCCAGATTTAAATGTGGGCTTCTCTCCTTCCTCAGGTCATTGGGCTGCTTGATGTCTTCACCTCCACTGCCTCCTACCAGGGGTTCCAGGACTTGTAAGTCTGGAGTTGTTTGCTCTGTGTAGACTTAACTATTTTCCAAGACAGCTGTGTCTTGGCAGCAGCATAACAGCGAGGGTTGAGGTGCAAAGGGAGCAGACTAGAATCCAGGCATCCCCAAATAACGCAGAGAACCAGGAGCACAGCTCAGCTCCCATGGCTGACACACCCAGAACACGTAAACAGATGCCAGCCCTGCTCCCAGCTGGGACACCACAGCAGCACAGCCCAAGCTGTGCAATGAGGATGTGTTACATTCCATGGTGCATCACACAGAGGGTGATCCATGCTAGCACTGTGTGACTGCTGAGCTAAGGGGCTGCACTCACAATGGGAATAGTATTGTTCATCAGGCCTCAGGGCAATTAAACTTAGAATTTGAAAGATCTGTCCTTCTTTTCCTCTCGATTCTGGCTCTTCTCAATTAATTTTTTTGGCATTTTCCCTCCATGTTCATGATCACATTGGACAAGTCCTTTTTCCTTCCCCATCACTGCAGATGAGCAGTGTGACTGGGTTTGGGGTTTGGCTGATGGCTGAGGTTAGCAGCCTGCAGGAAGAGCATGTGAAGGTTCTCAGAGCAGTTCCTGCAGGAAGACCATCAATTAATTAGCAGCCTCAGCAGGCAGGTACTGAAGGAAGCTGGATATTGTCTTCTGAGGCAGGGCTGGAGAACATTACAATGACAAATTTGGGAGCCAATGCAGCTGCTTTGCTGTGTGAGATGTTTCAGCTCCTGGGTGGTGAAAGGCTGTCCAAAATTGAACTTCACTTGAGGTCTAAACTAATTCAGGATCCTGAAGATCCTTGTTCTTACTTGACATCAGATATCTGATTTCCAAGGAGGAGAAAGAGAAATTTTTAAAACAGGTTGAAATTCCAACTCCTCTGTAGGATGTGCTAGTTAGCCAGGAACAGTCACAACAACTCATCTTCCTTACACAGCCAGAAAAACCAAACCAAGTGAGAACAAGGCTAGCCTGCTCCCCTGCATTTTTCTTCCAGACTCAGGGCCTTGTCTTACTGCCTTTTAGCTACCTGGTGATGCCATACATGCGGACAGATTTACAAAAGATCATGGGACATGAATTCAGTGATGAAAAGATCCAGTACCTGGTCTACCAAATGCTGAAAGGGCTGAAGGTAGGTGGGTCTGGAGGAGTTTAGTGACTCCCTGCGTCTCCTCTGTGTGTCACCTCTGGGTTGACCCCAACTAAACTCCCCTCCAATACTGTACAGGAGGATGTGGGGAGTTTATGGCATCCCCTCGGAACAGGAATTGGCTGTTGAACCATTCCTGGTCCAGCACACATCAATAAAATGAGTGTTTGCTTACATCAGGTATCAAAGTAATCAGCAGCCACAGGCCTTGGGATGGTTTCTCCAGGGCAGCACTTGCTTCTCTCTTTGCCTTGCCCAAACCTCAGCAAAACTCTGCACAGAGAGGGAGGGACTGTCAGCAGCAGGAGCTCCTCTGAACCTGTCACAGAGGCTCTCAGGGGAGAGGACAGAGGGAATGATTTTCTATTCAGGAGCATAAGGAAGGAATATGTTTCTGTAACTGGCTTTGAGGGAGCTGACAGCAATCACTGCAAACTCTGGGATGTAGAGACAGAGTTTTCCAGCTGTCCTCTCACATCCTTCACCTGGAGTCGCAGCAGTGGCTTACAGGCATCAAGGGGATCACCTCAATCACACCTCTCCCCAGGTCACTGCTACCTTGAATAAAGGGGGGAAGAACACACAGAAGGTTTGACTGGTATGCTAAAAACCCTGAAGTCAGTTTTGCAATTTTATGTTTTTGGGCTGAGATTATTTTTTTGAACACCCAGAATAACCCTGTTCTCATGTCATCTGCTGTAACCTTGATGACTTTGATAGTTTGAAGCTGTTGTACTTGCTCTGAGGAGCTATTGTTTCATCCCTCCTCTTCTGCTCTATGCATCTTATTTAGACTGGCAATAGCACTGTAAATACTGTCAGTAATTTGGGGCAGAAATTTCTTTTCAAACTGCTGCCCTAGGGACCAGAGACCTGTAGAAGGCTGCAGAGGTTTGTTCTCGGCAAGTTCTTGTTTGTAGCTCTCGTTTCTTTGCTGGAGAACAGAAAATTTTGTCTGCTGGTGATCACATTGTGGCTCCTCTTTTCATTGCAGTATATTCATTCAGCTGGCATCGTCCACAGGGTAAGTTCATGTATTCTTATTCTGATTTTTGTCTGAGAAACACAGCATAGTCATAAAGTTAATAAATTCCTAACCATCATTTCACTAATACCACTGTCTGCTCTAATTTCCATCCTGTCTGCTCTCTTTTTCATCCTACCAAAACCCCATATATATTTGGATTACTAATTCCTGCAGCATTTTGAGAAAATGCTGTATTTTCTGATGAGCTGAGAAGCATTTTATGATGCTTTTTGAATTAAAACTGTTTCAGAAAAGAATAAAATAGTAACCTAATATAGCAGGCATGGTGTTTATTCAGTCATGTGCTGAATTGATGTTGAACCTGGGGTGTTATGGGACCCCATCAAAGGCAAGCAGAGGTTCAGCTGGAAGTTGTGTTGATGTATTGCAGCTTGAAACATCCAATTTTTCTGCTCCTGTCTGTTGTAGGACCTGAAGCCAAGTAACCTGGCTGTGAATGAAGACTGCCAGCTGAAGGTAGGTGGCAAAGCAGCACTTTGCAGCACATCAGCTCGTGGAGGAGCTGCTCTGCCAGCAGGAAATTGGCACTGTCATGTTTCCTCTTTCCTCCCGAGCCTCCATTCCAGGCGTTGTGTTCCTTGGCAGATGCAGCAGTGGGAAATACTCCCCTGCTGATGTCACTTGCTGAATCAGGACACAGGAGCTCAAATGGGCCTTCTGTCACTGTAATCCTCGTGCATGGCAGTGTGTAATGACTTCCTGGAGAAATTCAGCACTGCTGAGCAATACTTGCAGCAGGTGAATGATCCCTGAAGGGTAACTGCATTCAGCTGCAGCTGCCCTTTGGTTCTCATGGATGCTGTGGTTGTCATTCCAGACAAAGTCATTTTCAGGGTTGCTCTGAAGGGTTTGCTTGCTGCTGGCTGGTGTGGTGCTCTAGCATGCATTTTCTGTAATGGATATTTCAGGGAGTGGCTCTGCTGCCCATAAAGGTTGGGTCAAGCTTGTTCATCTTCAGCATTGAGGGAGAGGCCATGCTGTTGTGTCACCTGCAAGGTGTTCTTATAGCAAAGGGTGAGTTGTGGTGACCTGGGAGAACGCCTTCACCACCAACTCCAATAAAGCACATTGACTCAAAACTTAAGCTTCAAGAAAGGCAGTGACCTTCCTGGGAGCACAAAGCACTGATCCTTTCAGAAGGGTCCTCTCACGACAACAGGGTTTGCAGCTGGCTTGCAATTCACAGTGGAATTAAGATATATAAATTCCTTGAACCATCCCATGGGTGTCTGTGGTGTAGTTGGAGCTTTGTTATTATCTGATTGGAGCTACTCCATTTTCTCTCAGAAGTAGTCTCACTTGCCCATAGGATTTCTCTTTTCTCTCCTGCCCTCCCTTCTCCTTATTCTTCCTTTGGCACTGCAGATTCTGGATTTTGGCCTGGCCAGGCAGGCTGATGCTGAGATGACTGGCTACGTGGTCACACGGTGGTACAGAGCCCCAGAGGTCATCCTGAACTGGATGCATTACAACCAGACAGGTGAGCAGCCCTGCCCCAGCCTGTGACTCCCTGCTGGTGAGCTGGGGGATCCTGCTGGCTCAAATCTCACTGAATTGTCCAGTTGTTTTTCCTCCTTTTCATCAGCGTTCCCCAGAGCAGAGCAGGTCCCACAGGTGTTGCACAACTCCCAGAGCTGCTGCTTGCAGGAAATTATGAAAGCTGAGATTTTAGCAGCATAGAAAGAACAGAGGGTGGGAGTGAAATTTAAATCAGCGTTTGCTGCAAGCAACAGCAAAAGTGACAGCCCCAGCAACCACTGCTGCCTTTCTAATTTTTTTTTAATTTTATTTTCTTCCTTTTTCCCTCCTCCCTCCTTTTTCTCTCTGAACAGTGGATATCTGGTCTATTGGCTGTATCATGGCAGAAATGCTGACTGGGAAAACACTCTTTAAAGGAAAAGACTGTATCCTTTCAAGCTAAACCTTTTGCCTCAGCAGAGTAATAATTCTTCGTGTGTGTGTGGAAGGGTTTTTATAAATGAGGCTACTGAGAAAAACAGGTGTCAGACTGGTTTATCAGGAGGTAATCACAAGGACCAGTCTTTTTGGGGAGGAAAACAGAAGGGGACCTCAGAAATGCACCTCTGTGGTGGCATGGTTCTTCATCAGCTGTTCAACCTTGTTGTGGCCATGGCTCCATTCCCAAATCTTTGCACATCCTTCCAAGCCCATGGATGTGTGTCCTGGCATGGTTGTACCAGAAAAATGATCTGTTGATGGAAATGCCATTCCAGGAAGAAAGGCTTGGAGCTCTTTTTGCCAGTCTAATGCATCTCTGCTTGTATGACTGTGGTGAGTTTGTATCATGAGCTCATTGTACCCTCGCAGGCTGGGCTGGGGTGGGGTTTGCTCCTCAAAGGGTGATCTTTAACACAGCTTGCCAGACCTGGATCAACTGACCCAGATCCTGAAAGTAACGGGGCATCCAGGAGAGGACTTCTTGGAGAAGCTGGAGGACAAAGCGGTAAGGAAGCTCCTGTGATTTGGATCCTGCTGGCAGAGGCATCGGGGGAAGAGGTTGACTTGTGTTTGGCATGGGAGAGGTGCTGCCTCTGCAGCAGCAGGGAAATGCCCTTTTCCCCAGGCAAGGAAGGCATTTCTCTGTGCTGGTGGCACATCTGATGGGCCTGGTGCTGCGTTGGGCAGGGACTGATGCCCCAGGAAACCACCAATCTTCTCTGTTCTCCTGCTTGGCTCTTAAAACAGAAGGATTTCTCTGTTTTGACCAATAAAAACAGTTCCTTGTGAACTGTTTGCTGAAATGGGACATCTGAGATGCTTTGCTCTTCTCTTCACTTGCTGACATTGAGAGCTGTATTTCACACCTGCCCATGTGCAGTAATTGTGCTTTCCTTGCTCCTTCAGGCGAAGAGTTATATCAAGTCCCTTCCTAAAATCCCCAAGAAGGATTTGTCTGTGCTTTTCCCTAAAGCCAATCCTCAGGGTAAGTAATCTCCAGCATTTCTCATGAGTTTTCACAGCTGGAAAGGAGGAAAGCTGACTGCCACAGACCCAACTTTATTTCTCCTTCTCATAATTTCTTGCTACTTTTTTCCCTTGCAGTTTATGCCCTTCCTCAGGGAAAAATATGCATCAGTTAAAAGCAGAATTATTTTTATTGGCATTACAATGGTGATGTTCTGCTTCTCTTGGCCATTTACTACTTTTTAAAAAATTATTATTTTTAAGTACAGTGTAGAACCTGGATCTAGCAATATTTAACAGACAGCTGATGTAAAATTTTCAGGGTAAAAATTAATCTCTTAGAAAGAACTCTCTTCCCCAGTAGGTTAGAGGTGAGAGCAAGCAAAACTCTTCTAGAAACTGAATGGAAGAAAGTCTTAAAATGTTAAAACCAAGTGGGAGTGAGGCTGACAGACTAGTCAGCATCTGAGTTTCCTGCCCTCCTCTCTAGCAGGGATGTATAGGTTTCTATACAGATTACTGATGTTAAGACTCCTTTGAGATGCAGGGCTCTGAATGAAAGCAAATTATTAAAACTGAAAAGTATCTTGAGGTTACTGGCTTACTCCTCATGTTTCTGCAGCCCAATCTGTGCAGCAAGGCTCATTCAGGTCTAATTTGTTATTTCTGCACAATTTAACTTCTGTTACCAAGAGCTCCCTGAGGCTGTTGTTGGGCAGACTTTGCATCTGCACTGATGGGAGCCCCTTGCTGCCTTGGCCAGGTTGAGGATTCTCTTCACTGTTCAGGTCTGGAGGTGAAACACTGGAAATAGCAGTGCCACACTTGCAGGGTTCATGCACAGGCTGCCTGTGCTCCCCTGCACCTTGCCTAGCCCTGTTCCCACCCTCCACAGCTGTGGACCTGCTTGACAAGATGCTGCAGCTGGATGTGGAAAAGCGCCTTACAGCAACAGAGGCCTTGGCTCACCCCTACTTCGACCAGTTCCGAGATATCGAGGAGGAGACAGAGGCACAACACTCCTATGATGAGTCTCTGGAACATGAAAAGCTTTCCATAGAGGAGTGGAAAAGTAAGAAGTTCATTTTCTTTGAGGTTCCTGTCTAGCATGGGACTCTCCTACCCCTCTTTCTTTCCTGTACAGATGCTGAGTAAAGCTGTGGTTGCCTGCTGATGCCTCAATGGTAGGGCTCAGATCTCTTGCTTTTATCCATTCAGCAAAGATCCCTCCAGCTCTTCAGGCAGACTTTTTTGCTCTCTCTCCTTTGTCTCTTTCAGCTGCCACTGAATGCCTTTTCCTGCACATCCAACACTCCAACTTTTATTTGTGTCCTCTAAAATCACACATTAATGGTTATTTTGTTCTGCTTTTCAAGAGCACATTTACAAGGAGATCTTGACCTTCAGTCCCATTGCACGGAAGGACTCAAAGAAGAGAAGTGGGATGTCATTATAGCGACGGGTGCAGCTGTGGCTGGGACTCACTTCTCCCTGCTGACATCAGATTCATTCCACACTGTGCTGCTGGTGGCCAACTTTTGGCCTGTGGGACCTCTCTCTATATGCCAACACAAGGATGACATCGTGCTGTGGGCATTGGACTTTGTTCTTCTAAAGGGGAAGCACCCCAGACAGTTTTTGACATAAAAGACAAATATATTCTTGTTGAAACTTTAAGTGGGAGAATTTGACCTGTTGTTTCTTTTTTTTTTTTTTTCCTGTATTTGTCCACTTGAGAGAGGAGGGGTTTTATTCTTTCTCATGAGTCTTTTCAAGCACAGAGCTTAGTACATTAATTATGGATGAGGTAGAGAAAAAGGGTAAAATTGGGAAGTGAGTCCTAAGCAAAAGGATCAGAAATACTGAATTTCAGCATAACAAGACCTTAACCAATCTCACTCTGGCTGTGTCCTGCTTCCCTGAGCAGTCACAGAGCACCCAGCAGAGCAAGGCTGCTGGGACAGTGTCAGCTCCAGGGCACCAGGGGATCAGCCTGTGTTCAGAGCAACTACAAACTCATCTTCTCATCCTGTACACACAATTCTGCTCAGCTGCTTCCCCTCCAAAGAGCCACTGCCTCTTTTTTTTTTTTTTTTTTTGTTTTGTTTTTCCCCTGCTCATTTAATTCCCTGGGATTTGATCAGTGCTGTCTCCTCCTCACAGCAGGCAGCAAACACAGCCTGGGAATTCAAGACCACTTCCCATAGTGACAGACTGGGAGTCCCAAGCAGCTGCATGAGTGACTTTGAATATGGATCTGCAGGACATTCAGCAGCCTGTGCTGAAACTGGAGTATCTGCAGATCCACAGCTTATCAATAACAGTCATTGATAGTGCAGGCACAGCTGCTCGTTGTGATAACACCTTTGGACTGCAACACCTTCTTGCCCAGGGTGATCAGGCAAGCTCAGCCAATCATTCCAAAGTCCATCCCAAGGGATGTGTGCCAAGAACCAGGTGCCTTCTCTGTATCAGAGCAACACCTTCTTCCCCTCCTCTTCTCTAGCTGCTGACTTATTTTGGTTTGGTTTAGGCAGGTTGTTTGTTTTCAGTACTCTCTAATTTTCTTCTTAAGTAATGTTCAGTTTTGCTGTACAGACCACAAGTGAGTAAAAACTGCAACATTTCCAGAATTTTCTGATCTCTCTTCTCCACTGGGAACTGGGCAGTGATGTCATGTTGCTTGGCTGCCTCCCTGCTGCAGCTCATGGCATGCAGCACTGGGGATAACCCTGCAGTGGCTGCAGCTTTTTGATAGGATGGTGTTGGTGTTTGCCTGCTGTAGCTGCACACATGGTCCATGATGATAAGGTGAGGTTTCTCTTGGCTCATATCTGTCTGGGTCATGTACAAGGCCTTTGCTCCACTCCTCTCTTAGGTAGAGACAGTGAGCACAGAACTGTTGTGATGTGCCCTCAATTCCCTAGAAATTCAATGTTTTCTTATGCAGAAAGTCATCTCTAAAGTCAAAGTCATCTGTTAAGGCCAGATTCAGACAGAACTCATGAACCACTAAATGGGAATGTAGGGTATTTCTTTATCATCTTGCCCTCCTTCAAAAGGGGATAGGTAGACCTGAAAGTCTTCTGTCTCAGTAATGATGGCCGAGGGAGAAAACACCTTCACAACAAAGGAATGTACTGAGCAGTCTGCTGGTAGTTGAGAAGGGACTTGGATAGTTGTAAAGAATAATTTAAAATGCCCTTTGGGAATGTCTGAGCAGAGGACAAGCATGAAGAGGCACTGGGGACATGTGATACAAATAGGTGTGAGAAGAACAATCGTGAGCGTAGCCAAGTGGGGTACACAGATTCTGCAAACATCAGTCTCACCTGTTTTAGGGATGCACAAAGGCCCTTCAGCATCAGTCTTTCTGCTGAGTATGTACCCAGTTTCAGGGACTGGGTTTCTTGGTAGGTTTACACTTACCCTGAATGCTCTGAAATTGCAAGAGCAATCCCAACAGCTGCTGTGTGGGCTCCATGCTCTGGTTTCATTCATTCACCCACCAACCCCATAGAGTGACAGAACACTGTGCAAAAGGATTACCCAATACCCCAGCAAATGTGGGGAGCAGGTGCTCTGTAAGCCCAGGAACCCTGGAGGTGTATGTATATTTGGTTTTTTGTGGTATGTATCATCCAAGAACTCAAAATAGACAGTAGAAAATGTAGCAGGTTGGTAGTGGAAAGAGTCTCTGTACAGAGCAACCATCCCAGTGCTGCTGTGGCATCTGAGGACGTGTTTCAATGAACAGCAAGGAGCCAGGAGAAGGGAGAGGTGGGGGGAAATCCTGTTGACATTTCCTGAAAGGAGTTTGAAAAACACCTGCTTGACAGAGTCAGTGACTCAGGACAAGGCTGGGATCCTTCAAAATCAGCACCAGAACCAAGAGGGGGTGTGTGACCCTGACAGACTCTGTTGAGTCAAAGCAGGAATTACCTCATGCAGAGGTGCAGGCAGTGCCTGGTCGATGACTCACACTGACACATCATTCATGGACATTCCTTTCATTACCATTATAGTTTACATGCTTAAAAACACAAAACCAAGAGATAAAAATCCCTCAGCCATTAAGTGGTCCAAAATTCCATAAATCAGGCCAGCCAAAAATATACAATATTTTTGGCTGGCCTGATTTATGGAATTTTGGACCACTTAATGGCTGTGTTAAGTTTCTATGATACAAATTTACACAGATACATGGATGGAATTTTTGTGCCTGTTTCAGATAACTTACAGATGTCTAACTTGGAATACTATTTACTCGCTATTCTTACATTCATTTCTGACTTACAAGCATCTTTTTTAATTTGGAAAATAAAGCCTTCAGAAACAATCTTTCTTTGTAAGTTTGACAGCTAATTAGGTCTGTGAAGTTGCAACTTCATGGGGACTATTTGTTAGGTACTTGCACGTGTAAGTGGGAAAGAAAAAGCAGATGAAGGAATAATTATTTTATTTTCTTAAGAGATGCCACAAAATTAGAGGGTTTTTTAAGAGAGATAATAGTAGCTGTGTTTTGGATACCACCTAGAAACCATTCAGTGCACAATTTGGAAAATTTCCACAGCCTCTTAGGAAACTACTTATTTTATCCTGTAGGAAAAAGACAGATTATCTGTTTTTATATTTAACATTTTCACATTCTAGGTAGCAGACTAAACAAATAATGCTCATGTTTTAAGTATGTGACAATGGGAAAGAAGAAAAACACAGAAAATTATGAACATGTCTGAGAACTCCAGTGAGATTCTGTACAAAGGATGGTAGTACCTTTTCATATTCCCATGTCTTGCTGTTGCCTGAGCAACCAGGGAAAGCATTCCTTATCCTCTGCATTTTTCCTGTTTCGTGGGTCAGCAGAGTGTTGGCTGGAAACGTGATTCTGGCTGTTTTTCTTTTCACAGCTGAGAGAAACAAGACACAAAAGACTGAATGAAGATCAGAATAGCCACTATTAATTTGCTTTTCCCCCAAAAGGATGGGCACTGGCTGCACTAATTGTGCTTATCATGGAATCATTCAGGTTGGAAAAGGTCATTGAGATCATCGAGTCCAAATCTACACTGAAAATGTCACAGTTTCCAGGTGAAGGTGGTTTAGGGGATGTTTTGCCTGATTTGTCTCTACAAGGCCATTTTCTGAGCACATGAGCTTACACAGCTTTTAATGTGATGTTCAGCTGGTGCTGGCTCACAGCTGATTCAGGCAGCTCTCCTTTTCTGTTGGAATGCACTCCATTAAATAATACTGAAGGGTTGGTATATTTGCCTCCCTCATTGATTTGCTGTTACATGAAAGTGAGTTAACTTCTTTTAGTCAGGTTTGGCTGGAAAAATAAAAATGCTTCTGCCATAAACCATAATTTCAGATCTGTCTTTAGAACATTTCAACTGAAAAAAAAAATGTTTTAAAATTAGAGGACATTGAGATTAAAAAAATAAGGACCACTGAGGAGGTAGTGCTGGGTACTTGTGTAACCTCTCTGATGTGAGTGAGGCTGAAGAGGGTTATAAATATGTATATAAAATTCCAGTGAAAATACAAGGCAACTGAGGCTTATCCCTTTTGAGATATCAGGTTTTAACCTTTAATGCACAAGGGACCTGTTTAGCAATTGCTCTGATTTCGGCAATTCTGAAGAAAACAGCAGCAGAACAAACAGCCAAAGAGAGATACAAACATAAGTCAGTTTTGAGGCTTAATAAATCAACAAAGAAAAAGGTCAGCTCTCAATTCTAAATGGTGCTTCTCTTCCCCTTTTAAGTATGTCTTATATGCTTGAATAAACATGGAGAAAATTGTAATATGAATGAAGGTGCCCAACACTGTTTGAGGTGTCTTGGCTGCTGCTCTCATTTGAAGCAACTAATTTTGCACTTGCACCCTTTAAAAACTGGGACAGCAAAGAAATTGAATTAAGCTGTGCCTCTGGGATTTGAGAGGAGTTCAGAACGTTTTTTCAAATAACACATTAGTTCCACAGCTTTGATATAAAACAAAATGATGAATAGCTTGTTTTGATGTTGTAACACATGGCCCTCAGTCATCAGAGATGTCTGGACATCTCTGTGCACAAGGCATCCCACTGTTCTTAATAGGGAACCTAACATGATTATAATAAGCTAATGCCAGTGCAAATTTAAGAGTATAAAGGTTCAAAATTGAGGTAAAAAGTTAAAGAGTTTGCAAAAGTTGGTCATATTAAAAAAAAAAATTTAAAAATCAACTAAAACCCAGTTAAAATTCCCACATAAAGAAGAAAAATCACAGAATGGTCTGGGCTGGAAGGGACAAACATCTGTTTGCAGTCCCTTGCTGCAGGACACCTTTCACTCAGAGCTCCATCCAACCCAGCCTTGAACAATTCCAGGAATGTGGCAGCCACAGCTTCCCTGGACAACCTGTTCCAGTGCCTCACCAGCATCACAGAGAAGGATTTTTTTCCTATTACTCAATCTAAACCTCCTCTCTTTTAGTTTGCAACCATTCCCCCTTGCCCTGTCCCTACATGCTCTTGGAAAAGTCTCTCTTGATCCTTACTGCAGGCTCCTTTCAGGTACCAAAGGGCTGCAATTAGGTCACCCCAAAGCTTCTCTTTTCCAGGCTGAACAAACCCAGTTCTCTCAGCCTTTGAAGTCGTTCATCAATTATTGAAATTATTTTATTTACTGTTTAACCAGGAAGCAAATGCAGCTATATGTTGTTTTAGGGTTTGTTTTATCCTTCATGGTTAGGACCATACTGTTATACAGCTGTTCTTTTGAGGGTGAGATCCTTTGTAAATCAATGAGAGTACTGGGACTTTATTTTGAAACCCTTGATGTTATTTTTCATGCGAGACCAGAATAGTTTATTTCAAGTTTTGATACGTAAATAGTAGACCTGTAAAAAAAATACACCATATATACACAATATATACTTCAAAGGTGGTATGTAAAGACTGTTCAGCAGTAAGTAACACATTTCCCTTTGCTTTTAAAGCTGCAGCAAGCTCTGGTCCAACCTGAGTACTCTGCAAAGCAGACTATCACAGACTAGATGCTCTCAGATTCCATGGTTAACATACGTTAAGAGACAAAAGATCTCCAGCTGGACCGTAAATGAGGGAAAACAACATTCTTTGCTTCCTTCTAAAACAGTTAATTCTATAAATTCAGATGGTGATATTATGCAATACTCTGCACGGAGTGGGAGGTGGAACACACATATGCTCAAGTATGTGGCATGCTCTATAAAAAGTAAGTGTGGGAGCCTCTGCAATTCCTATCTCAATTCTTATCTCAGTTGCTAACTTAACTTCTTCCTTGTTCAAATCCCCTCAGTCCCTCTCTCACTGTCACTCCAGCCTGTCACACTTCTGCATGTGAAGAGGCCATCTGGACCCGAAATATTGGTTTACAAAATAAATACAGGCTCTTGCTATTTACATTGTTTGATGTTGCTTGTTTAGACTAACTGTGGCAGGCCAAGGTTCTCTGGGAGTGTAGCCGGGTTGGACTCTGGCACCTGACCACGCTTCAGGGTGTTTCCTGGGACCCCACACCTCCTGCAAAAAAAAACTGGGCTGCAAAATGAAGACACCCCAAACGAGCCAGGGACAAAATCCCCACCTCATGTCCCGTGGCCTGACGGCTCCCAGCTGAGAGGTACCGGCCGGGGATGGGCCCGCACGGCTGTACCCGAGCTCCCAAACCCCAGCCCCGCGATGATGCGGGGGGCAGGCGAGGCCCGCTCCGGCCGCCGGGAGGCCGCGGCTCCCCGGTGCTGCCTCGTCAGCCACGGAGGGGGACTCGGGCAGCAGCGACCCCCGCCTCAGCCATGAGGGCAGCACGGAGGGACCCCTCGCCCTCCCGTCACCAGCAGCCCCCGGGGGCCTCCCGCTCGGCGCGGCCCGGGTGTGGGAAGGCACCGGGGAGGGGCGGGCGGTGCCTGCCCGCGGGGGGAGCGGAGCGCGGAGCCCCCTCCCCCGCCTGGCCGCTGGCTGCCGCCTCTCCCCGCCGCTCGGCCGGCCCGCGCCGCCACCGCCGCCTCCATCTTGAGCGTGTGTCCCCTGCTCCCCCCCCGCCTCCACAGCACCGAGAGCGTCGGGGGCGCTGGAGCCCCGGGGGGGAGCGGGGGGGAGGTGAGGGTGGTGGGGGGCGAAGCGGCACCGGGGCCGGAGCGGCAGCGGCGGGAGCAGCGGCGGCAGCAGCGGCGGCAGCGGCAATGAGGAGGCGGCGCTGAGGAGGCGGCAGTAGCCGGAGCGGACGGAGCCGACATCTTGTGCCCTCCCCTCCCGCCGCCGGCTGGGTGAGCCCGTCCGCCCCAGGGGGGAGGGGAGGGGGAGGCGGAGAGAATTTAAAAAAAAAAAAAAAAAAGGAAAAGGAAAAAAAAAGGAAAAGAAAAACAAAAACAAAAATTCCCCCCAAAAGGAGGCGGCGGCAACGGTGGAGAAGCCGCGGCAGCGGCGCGCTGAGCCGGCCAGGTAAAGCTCTGCGCGGGAGGCCGCGACACCCTTCCTTCAGGGGTCTCTCCTCCCTCACACACCCCCGCGCCGGGGTCGCGGGAAGGTGACCGGGCGGGCGGGAAGGAGCTGGGGGAGGCCGGTGCGCCGCAGCTTGCGGGCCTCTCCCGCGTCCCTGCTCCATCTCCGTGCGGCGAGAGCGGCCCGCGATCCCTCGCCGAGGAGGGGGCAGCGGCGGAAAGTGGCCAGGGACGGGGAACGGACAGCGCCGTGTCAACGGGGCCCCCCCATTGCCGCCATCTTGGCCCCCCCTTCTTCGCGGCGCGGCGGGGGCGCCGCCCACCTTCTCCCACGCGATTGGCCCAGGCGGGGCCGAGCGCACCCGCCGTTAGCCCCGCAGAGCTTCGCGTTGCTATTGGCGATGGCGCTGTGATGGATGGCGGCGGCAGCCAATGGCCTTGCAGCCCTGCGGCGCTCGCGCTCTCTGGAGGCTGTGGCAGCTCTGTGGGGAGAGGTGGCCGCGCAATGGGCTCGGAGCGCGGCTCCGTCCTGCCGCGGTTCATCGCCTTCTCCACCTCCCCGGGACAGCTTAATTTCTGTCTGAGTCCCTGCTCTGCCTTGGCTCAGATCCCTGGCTGCTACCGGAGTTCCCTGCGGGATAGCTCCTGAGAAGGGCTCCCGCCTTTGCCTGACAGCTGCGGGCATGTCACCGTTCCCTCAGTCGCTGCTGAGATCTGACACCGCTCATGGCGCACCTTATGTGTCGCTGAGCCCTGACTTTATACCTGAAACTTCATCCACAGCCCGTCTCGCACCCTCCCCATTCCGAGGGGAGGGCCTTTCTCAAGGCCTGTGCATCTTCCATGCTTGACTTGGTTACAGCAGTGTCAGGGCATTGGCAGATCTCAAGGCATCGAGACCTCTACATGTGCCAAGGCAAGCAGCTCTGTGACATATGTTGGGCACCGACACATTTGATTGTAGGCATCAATGTGGGTGTGAGGAGCACAAACCCTTGGCAGGTGTGTGAGGGGACCATGGGCAAGCACAGACATGGCAGGAACATGAAGGGACATGGTGGAGGGCAGCAGGAGATTTGCTGATGTTTTGGCTGGCGAAAGGTGCAGAGGGGGCTGCAACTGTTTCAGGTTGTTTCTTTCCTCTGGCATCCATTGATTTTATCTTCCAGATGTGTTTTTTAAATAGCTCCACGGGTGTCTGTTCCCCATTGCACAGCATCGGGTTTTAAATCCCGTGGCCGCACGGAGCTGAGTGGCTGCTGGTGCAGGAGAGCAGTGCTGAGGAACATCTCCAGACCTCATGTTTGGCTTGATGTCCTAAAGAGGGGCAGCCTTTGGTAACGACAAACCCCAAACTCTTTATGACTGTAGGTCTCCTGCAGTGCGAGAAAAGTATTTCTGACCCTTGGAGATGGCCAAGGCAGCGTTGCATGGGTGGGAATCACAGTCTTTCCTTTAGAGGACCCACTTGTGTTCAGTATTCCAGGCTATGTGTATAACAGAGGCCTATACTATGATGTTGTTCCATACATGTTGATCTCTTTGTTTTTTTCAGGGGAGCTTTAGCCCCTTTCTAGTAAATTTACATACCCTGATGATGGGCTTGGTTTTTCAGTTGCCTGTTGCAGTAATTGCCCACAGGTGTGAAAGCTGCTGCTCAGGAGAATCAAACCGCTCCTGAAGGAACTCCTGGGGTAGAGTTAAATTCATTCCCAGCAGCTCTATGAGTTGTAGCCACCTTGTTTGCTCAGTTGTGCTCACTGGGAGCTTCACCCCCTGCTCCCATTGGAATCCCCGGTAGAAATGGGTGATGGGAGCTTTTTGGAATGCCTTGAGCACATTGTGGCAAAGAGGTGTCTGAACTTTCTACTTTCACATCAGCAGCCTTTGTCTGTGGCAGGACAGAATCAGCATGGGCTGAAATATCATTTAACCCTGCTCATGTTGAGTATCTTTAGCATTTCAGTGTGCACAGGTGCCGTTTACACAGGGGTTCCTTATTATGTGTAGCTGGGAGGTGTTTTCAGGTGTGCAGAGGGAATCAAAACATTCCTAAGTTGCTGCTTAGAAGTTTCTGTTGTTGTAGACAGCAGCAAGGTCACAGTGCTCAGCTCAGTTGTCTGAGTTGATTTCAGTGCTGCTTTCAAGGTATTTTGGAGGTGTCTCTCCTAATATCCAGGTGTATGTCTCATTTCAGGCACTCAGTTCTCGCTGGCAGCAATTTCCATGCCATTTTAGGTGCTTCTCCATAGTGCTAAGTAATTGTGTGTTTTACAAATGGGTTGTTTTATGGCAGTTGGTTGCTGTGGTGCAAAGCCCACTTTGGGGTAATTTGTCTAGAAATACACTGATTGTTCCACTAAAGGAACTCTGCATGCTTGTTTTTCCCATTAACAGATAAAACAACTGTTCCTTCAGGTGCTTGTTTCACTGAAATTTCCTTGTCCCTCAGCATTTCAAGCAATTGGCTGTTACCTCATTTTTCCTGAACACAATATTAATGATGTATGTGGGCAGCTCATAATAATTACTTTATCCTCCATATATATTTTTGCTTCCAATATCCTCTTTGCTTGTACCAGCCTGAATTGTAACAGAGCTTTTTGTCAGCAGGATTTTCTTTTGTTTTTTTTTTTTTTAATTATTATTTTTATTTGATGATCAAGTTACCTTTATAACCTCTTTTTAAAATTATTTTCTCCTACTGATTGAAGCCATTGCAGTTCAGCTAGCATGAGTGCAGTTGGGTGTCTGCAGTGTGTGGATCAAGTGACTGATTAAAGTTTTAAGGCAAAGGTTCCACCAAAATTTGTGGTACCTATATTTGCAGATAGAAATTATCATCTTTTATTTTACATGTGGGGTAAAATTGATTTTACAGGCTCCATCCTTATGGGTGGGCATACTGAAATTGGCACCTGCAGCTTATTTCTGTGGCTGCAGCGAAGAGTTTGGAAATCTTTCCCAGAGCCTGTTTGTTTCTTAAGGCACAGGTGGTATCATGGCTTAATCTCATGGTTCACAGAACCTGTACTTGAAAAAGTATTGCTTCTGGAATTTGCTCCTTCTTTCTGGAATAAGCTTGGACTTCTTGTAGGTCCTGGTCCTGTGAGATGCTGCTTGCTGTGGCACACAGTTGAGAGTTTCTGGAACTAGGTCCTTCATGGAGCACAAATACTGCATTGGCTGAGTACAAATTGTGGGTTTATGGTGTGTTTCCTTGTCTGTGGGTCCCCCAGAAAGGAACTGGATGTGTGGATTGCTTTAAATAAGGGTGAGGTGCTGCTTCAGGCCTCTGCATAGCAACAGATAAGCTCTGGGCTGGCTTATCTTCTCACAGAGAATTTACATTTGCTTTTCTTTGTCTCCTTTCCGACTTCTTTCAGCCTCAGCTCGTTTATTCCCATAAGTCATGTTCCCATCCTTGACTCTGCCCTTCTCTCTTGCATTACTCACTTGGCTTCCTCTCTGCTTTCCCTCTTTGCCAGCTCCCTCCTTCGCCCTGCGATCACCGAGCTGCTGCCACCACGTCTGAATCCTCCCCCAGACCCTCTCCCCAGGCTTCTCCTCTGCTCCCCTCTCACAGGCACCTCCTTAATGTCAGCAGCCGACTCTCAGCTAATTATCTGCCTTGCTGATTAGCAGTTTGTGCGGGCAGAGCTGGCTGGGGCTTTTTGTTAAGGCTCTGAGCAAGTGCTGTTTCACAGCTCCTGGTGCTGGGAGCTGTCTTGCTGCTTTCCTGCTTGTAGCCCCATGGACTCTCCATAGCCAGGTGGCTCAGGTGGATGAATGGGAGTTGTGGCTCCAGAGGGGCTAACGCCAGAGCTTGTAAGTCCATTGGGATCCATGCTGCTTGTTGCCTTTTTTATCCCTCTTTACTTCCTCATGGAAGAGCAGAAGGGATCCACATCCTGTCTCTGCTGCATTGCTCAGTTCATCCTCTGGTTCTGTTTGTGACCCTTG